AAAAAAAAAAAAAAAAAAAAAAAAATGCTGGCTTTGGGGAGTTAGTGCATGAGAAAAGAGTAATATTTCCCCTCTACTGCAAAGAGATCCGAGAAGCCTCTTTGTTGTAGAAGGGTTCAAATATTTTAACAGGATAATAAGAAGAGTATAATTTCACCAGAAAACCTAAACCAAAGCTAAAAAAAGATACTGAAAACCGCATGTAAAACATAACTTCCTAATTCTTACTGTCCACTACAAACGAGCATACTTGTTCAACAGCAAAGACACGTTTTTCCAGCCATTGTACAGGGTACAGTACACTGTACAGTACTGTATAGTACAGGTACTGTACATTGTACAGTACATACAGGGTCTTTGTACGTACTGTAAACATTGAGTGGTGTAAGGGACAGTCTTCAATTTTTTTTTTTTTTCTAAAAAAGCACAAAGTCAGGAGGTGGAGAAAAGGGAACCCTCATACACTGTTGGTGGGAATGTAAACTGGTGCAACCACTATGGAAAACATTAAGGAGGTTCCTTAAAAAACCAGAACTACCATATGACCCAGCAATTCCACTCCTGGGCATATAGCTGAAAAAAAAACATAAACATTAATTCAAAAAGATACATGCACCCCAAAGTTCATAGCAGTAATATTTACAATAGCCAAGATATGGAAGCAACCTGATTGTCCATCAACAGATGAATGGATAAAGATGTGGTATATATCTATATATATACAATGGAATACTACTCAGCCATAAAAAAGAATGAAATTTTGCCATTGGCAGCAACATAGATGGACTTGGCATTATGCCAAGAGAGAGAAGTCAGACAAAGACAAATACTGTATGATATCACTTTCATGTGAAACCTAGAAAATACAACTAACTAGAGAATATAACAAAAAAGAAGCAGACTTGCAGATATAGAGAACAAGCTAGTAGTTACCAGTGAGGAGTCGGGGGAGAGCAATGTGGAGGTGTGGGAGGTACAGATTTGGGGTATAAAATAGGCCACAAGGCATACTGTGCAACACAGGGAATACAGCCAATGTTTTGTAATAACTGTAAATGGAGTATAACCTTTAAAAACAAATTTTTAAGGGCAAAGTTTTTTTCATATTACTACTTAGCATAAAGCTAAATTGCAAATCTGTGATGGTGGGTAGTATAAAACTAACAGAATTTATTCCAACACTGTAGCCTCATCCTCGCCTGGCCTGATGAAAGGATTAAGCTTTGTAAATGATTGCTTGGTTACTTGTCTTACCAGACTCCACGCTGGTGGTGAGCAGGGTCCGCATTCGTGTAGAACATCACCGAACCCAATGCCTCATACAAGGTAGTTGAGCAATAAATATAGAACATACTGAAAAATAAGGAAGACACACCATTCCTCAGGCTACTCTCCTAAATATCAGTAGTCACAGCCAGGACTTTTAATGGAAGCTTTGGAAGAGGTGAAAGTCTATCTGGAATAGACTCTGGTAAACACCGGAAGTAGGAAGTTGCGGGGCACGCCTGTGCTCTACAGCCAGATGGAAGTGATGCTCGTTCTGAGAACTGGAGACGCTGATTTGTATGCTGATCTCCGGGCTGCAAAAGACCTGATAACTGAGCCAGGACTCCTCTCAGAAAGTGAGTCAGCAGTTTGCCTGAGACTGACCCAGTTTTGCACCGAAAGCCAAGAGTCCTGAGAAATGCCTCAGTCCCAGTCAAATCAGAGGGACTGATCGCCCAAGAAAGCAAGCAAAGAGACACTCCAGCATCAGGCAGGAATAAGTCTCGGGTGAATTCTGCATCGTAAAGCAAGTAAGATATTCTACAGTGGGACATTTAGAGAACAGAAAATGCTTATTCTACCGCGAAGGTACCTTTCTAGTCAAAAGTTTAATGTTTAGCAGGACTGCATTCTGATGCCCCTCCAGGATGATATTAGCTGCAGAATTCACTAAAATGAGAACATCCGTGAGTTTGTTCACTTTGGGGGTTTCTGAAATGAGATGACCTATGGATAAGACTTGTTCAAACATCTAGATGCTAAGGAGAATCTGCAAAAATCAAGTTGAATTTTGGCATAGCTGATAGTGAGCTGCTTTTTTTTTTTTTTTTAAGGCAGTGATTGACTTTGTGAATCCACATATTCTTGAGGCTACCTCAGAAATTTTGACCAGGTCATTAACTTGCCCTCCCATTTCTTTGAAGAGAGGACATTTTTCAGTTCATCTAAGAGCAGAATCAAATTCTTTAGACATGAGATCAGAGGGAGGGGCCTAAGATAGCCCTGTTTTCGCCATTTCTTTGTTCTATCCTTTCTCTCCACTGTAATCTCAATGGGGTGTTGGAACAGACTCTGGAAATAACCATATAAGCTTGGACTCTACAGAGGAAACCTGCAACCTGCCTCTTAGAGATTTTTCCATTTATTGAATCAAATACATTCTGTAAAAGCTTGTGTTCTCCATTTAAAAAGCACCACTTCATGATGTAAAAAATAACTAAATAAAAAATTAAAAATAAAAAGCACCACTTCATACGTATAACCGAATCACTTTGCTGTACGCCAGAAACTAACACAACATTATAAATCAACTGTAGTTTAGTTAAAAAAATAATAGCAATAAATAATAATAAAAAGCACCGCCTCGATAGTTCTGGAATAGCTACTAACATATAGTAGGATTTGTATATCATTATAGAACGTCCCTATCGTGCAATTTCCGGAAGAAACTTGTTCTAACATATTTCCTTTTTAATTCTCTAAATAATTGAAAGTTTGAAATACATAATAAGCAAATTCTGGTGACCCAGAGAAACTATAGAACACACCACAAATTACATGAAAGGTCCCCACCACTTCCTGGGAGAGATGCTTCAGCAGTTGCCTCAAGTTCACCTCTGACCGAACTTTCATCCTTACCAGAATTACTCATTCAGTTCAATAGCAATTGCCAACAAAGAAATCTGGGGTTGTAGACTTACACAAGTATAAATCAGTCTTATATCAGTTTTACTTAGCTTTATGTTCCAAATAGTGTGTATTCTTTGAATGCAAAATATATATATATGTATATATATTAAAAATCTTGATATTTTTGTATCAGTGGCAATATTCTCCTAATACATGTATCAATACATACCCATTCATTATAGCAACCAAAAGCCACTGTTATCACAGTGCTGACATGGGTGGGACCCACTGTTTTCCTTGTTTGTAAATCATCAACAGATCTGACCCTTTGGGGTTTTTTTGTTTTAATTCCACTCTTTTTGGCTAAAAGAGAGCATTTACAAATACAAGGAGGAGGGCTTGACGTTTATAATTCAATGTTAGACTGGCGATTAGAAAATATTACTAAGATCTGTAAATTACCCACAGATTGACATGGGAGCTATTGCACTGGGGAAGGACAATATATGACAAGTCCTCCCTGACTGGAAGGCGATGGGAAAGCTTGAATTAAAACATGAGAAATGCCAGGAAAGAGGAAAAAATGTGTTGGAATAATCATGTTTATTCTCTCTGAAAACATATATCCCTTGTGAATTATTTGTAACCATAACCTAAATCCTTGTATTTCCCACAAATCAGCAGTTACTGAACAAACATAAGAGGATAAGTGATTAGCATTCCCCCTCTAGGAACATCTGCTTCCAAAGGAAGTTTGGCAGAGTCTACAAGTGACGTCAGACTGCCAGGCACACAGATTACAATCTGGTTAATTCTTGCCCTGGTATTCCTACCTCCGGGGGAGCCTGGTCTAAATCCACAAAAGTCAGAGTTTGAAATGGATTACTGTACATTCTCACTGGA